AGGGGGGGGGTGCCCAGCGTGGCCAGGGTGGAAGGGCCCGGGTGGAAGGGCCGGGTGGGAACAGGGCGGGAGGGGCCGGGGTGGGAGCAGGTGTGGGGGAGGGCCAGGGATGCCAGGCGCCTTGTCGCCCTTGAGGGTCTCCATCACCTCGGAGTACACGTCCTGCAGGTCCTCCAGGTACACCTACAGAACGCTGCCCGCGCTCAGCAGGGCGGGCTCTCGGCCGCTTCCTTCCCAGCCGCGCGCGCCTCCAGGAACAGGAAGCGCGTCTTGAGCGACATCTCTGACAGCAGGGTCGGGTTGAGCTTCGTCATCTCGAAGAGCTCCTCGTCGCCCTGCGGAGAGAGGGAGGGGGGCGCGGCGCCGTGTCGGTCTCCGCCCTCTGTTGCGGCGACGTCGGCGGGCTGGCGGCGTGGGAGGGGATGGCACTGGAGGCGCGGAGCCGTCGGTTTCGGCCCACCAGGCGCGGTGCCGTGCCGTCGGTTCGGCCCTCCGTGGAGGGAGGAGGCGGATCGGAGGCAGCGGGATTGGAGGCGGCGGCGAGGGGCGAGGTGGACGGGCGGCGTGGACGGGCGGCATGGAGGGGCACGGGGGCACGGGGTCAGCGCGGCACCGTCGGCACGCCGTCGCTCGCGAGCTGGACCTTGCGCACCGGCCTCGTGGGCCACTCTCCGCCCATGAAGGTGGCGATCTCGTGCGCGAGCGCCTTTGGGTCCTTGGACTTCCAGTTCTCGTCCGCCTGGGCGAGGGCGGCGGAGGTGATAGCAGCGGCGGTGAAGGCAGCGGCGGTGAGGGCGGCGGTGAAAGTTGGAGGTGGTGAGGAGTGGCAGAGGGAGGCGTGCGGCAGTAGTGGAGCAGCGGGGTGGCAGTGGGCCTCGGGGCCAAGGTCCTCCTCCTTCTTCGGGCGACCCATTGTTGGTCCTCCCCCCCCAGCGTTGGTGGCTCAGATGCCGCTCTGCTACACCTCGCCGGGGACGGGTACCCGAGCAGCGACGTGGGGACCGGACGCGGCGTGACTGCGACCCCCACGCCACGGCCAACCCCCGAGCCAGAGCCCGATCCGACCCCGACGCCGGAGCCTACACCCACGCCCGAGCCTACACCCACGCCTGAGCCGACTCCGGCCGGGCCCAGGGCACCCGGATTGGGTCCCGCACCGCTTCGACCACTGCGCACTGGTTCCGAGAGCCGCAAGACCCAGAGTTCACTCTGCCAGGCATCGATGACGACCTCGGCAGCTGACGCAGGAGCGAGTTCGCGCTGCGCTAGGCTCAGATGGCGAGTTCGCGCTGCGCTAGGCTCAGACCTGAATCACATCAAAAACAAACGTTCACGCCTCCGGAGGGGACGTGGCGTCCTAAAAAAGAAAGAAAACAGGCAGACAAACACTACCCTAGAGAATCTCTCTCTCTAACCCTAACCGAGGGATAGGGGAGGAGGACAGGGTCCCCACCTGCACGAGCAGGATTTTGGAAGGACGATCAGGGGGACAGGTGGGCTCTCCTAAGTCCAGCTGAGCTCTGCCTGCCGGCCGCCGCGACGCGAAAGCCAGCTCCTCGAGGCTCTTCCTGCTGCTACGGCTCGGCCGCCGGGCAGCCGTTTTGTTGCCGACATCTCCAAGCGTTTTCCTACCGAGGACAAGGGCGAGCTCGAATGGATACTGAACACCGCCATCACGCGTGACCGCGGCGCACGGACCCTGAACTTGTCCCAGGGCCTCTACGCCGCCGACCTCGTTACCAAGTTCAGCGCCTATTTCGATCGGTCCCGCTCACGCCGCTTCGACTCGCCTATGGAAGAGGGGCTCGAACTGTCCGCCGACGATCAGCCCGCCGTTGGATCTGTTGAATACGACGAGATGTCCGAATTCCGCACCGCCTACATGGCCATCGTCGGCGGACTACTGTGGCTTGCCAATATGACGCGCGTCGACATTGCTTATTCCGCGTCTCAGCTTGCTCGGTTTATGACGAACCCTGGCCCGTCGCATTTTAAAGCCGCCATCCGGGTGCTTATCTACGTGCGCGACACAGCTGACCGCGCCCTCGTCATGCAGCCGAATTCCAACCGCAACCTTGAGAGCTACGTCGATTCAAACTGGGCCACTCCGGTGGCATGTTCTTCTTCTACGGATGTCTCTTCCACTGGTTCTCCAAAATGCAGCGATCCGTCACGCTGTCTAGTGCCGAGGCAGAGTTCTTCGGCGCCATGCTAGCCGCCAAGGAGGTGATTTTCATCCGTGAGCTACTGATCGACCTTGGATTTTCCATCGACGGCGCCAGCGTCATCAACTGCGACAGCAAGTCCGCCGTCGGCATGGCCTTCGATCCCGTTGCCTTCAAGAAGACCAAGCACATCTTGCGCGCCGCCGAGTTTCTTCGCGATCTCGTCAGCCGTGGCGTTATCTCTGTCGAACACCTCCCCGGCGTCGTGATGCTCGCCGACCTACTCACGAAGGCTGCCTCGCGGGCCATCTTTACTGGCCTGATCAAGCAGCTCGACGACTTTCATGCCCTTTGAATTTATTTGTCCCTCGCGCCCCGCACTCGGGCCAGGAGGGGCTGTTCCCGGGCATTCACACTATATTCCTCTGAGATAATATTATATTTCGCCGCCACCGCGGCGCGCGCGCTTTATCCGCGCGCTATATTAGTAGAGCCAAACTTGTGTTCTTGTTTTGGATCAAACTTGTTACAGCTCAGCGAACGCGATGCGGCCTCTGCCTAGCCTCCTGCTCCTATGCGCGAGCTATGGCGTGACCGCTATCGCGTAACGACCTCTCGCTGCAACCATCGTGCCACGCCACGCCCCACGCACGCTGCACGCACGTCAAAATTTGACCCGGGGGATGCGGAAACACCTCGCCCTCCTAGTACTCTAAGCCCACACACGGCACTCATCACTGACACACACACAGCACCCTCTAGTTCACCAACCCGCACGTTCGACACCCGTCTTGGGCAGCACCTTGGGAGCGCAGCCTTGGCCGCGGCGTCGGGCAACACTCTGGTGTGGTCGCGCCTCACGACGCCCCCCCCTCCGCGCGGCCTCGTCCGAAGAAGCGCTTGCCGGCCTCGTACGAGCAGATGGTGATGGCGCAGCTCGGCGCGACCTTGAGCACCCTCGGGCCCAGCCCAGCAAAGAGCGCGCCCACCCCCTCCGCGCGAACGATGTGCGCCAGCTCGGCGGCCGTGGTCAGACCGCCGCGGAGGTGGCGCTCGTTGGTGGGGCGGGGGGGGGGGGGGCCCTTGTTGGGGGGCGCCCGCGGGTCCCCCCGGCCGCGAGGGGCTGCTCCTTCTTTCTCGGTTCGTCCGGGGCGGGGGTGCCGTTTTTCCTTTGCGCTGGTGCGGTGGTGGTTGCGTCGTC